ATATCTTATATGATATACGTTGTGTGTACGTCGTTTTATAGTAGTATGTTTTACAGTGTACGTATGCGTTGCTTTGCATGCATACAGTTTTGCACCTATTGTTGTGTACATCAGCAATGCTGCTTGTATAAACAACTGCAATTGTGGTCGTATTGATAGGTGAATGGTTAATTGTAGTGGTAGTAGCAGCAGTAGAAGTCGTGGTAGGGCTCGTGCCCGCAGTAGTATGCGTGGTGTGTGTAGTTGTAGCAGTCGCTCTATCAATTTAGTGGCCTTCGGCCCATCCCGCCACCGTGCCTGGGTTGTGGGAATGATGCCTATTGGATGTTCGCCCTTGGTTGTCGGTCTGAGATCATTGGTGCCTGGGTTGCGGCTTGGAAGTTACATGACTCAAGTGGTACTTGGGGCCTCTTGTGGGCCTCTTGGGGGCTTCTTGGGGCCTCTTGGGGGCCCCCCAGAGAGAGAGAGAGAGGTAGGGCCCCCCAGAGAGACAGAGGGAGGTAGGGTCCCCCCTCCTCCTCCCTCCTCTGTTGTCCTTTCTCTTTCCTCCCTCTACTCGTCCGCAAGCCGCGGGCTCCTGCGAACTGGTCCAGCTAGCAACGCTGGCGCAAGCACAACAAGTCCAACTCGCGAATCGCGAATCAGCCGAAGGACATGTTCAACTCGCGGATCAGCGTCAGTGGGCCCTGGAGGATCTGCTCGCCGAACGGGTTCACCCCTCCTGCTGCGGAGGCGCCGTCGGCGCATCCGAAGGCGTGCTGCTGCTCGCTGCCCCGCGGAACTCAAGCCGAAGGGCCCACGAACGCATCTTCTTGGGCGGAGGCGGGCTTGGAGTCGGAGGGTCCGTCTCGACCTTCTTCTCAGGCGCAGGGTCAGGCGCTGGCGTGTCGATCAGCGTCGCAGGCGTCAGCGACGACGCCCCCCCCTGCATTCGGATGCTGTCTTCATCGGGGACATCGATGACCTCAGTCTCGACCTTGGCGTCGGGCGCGGCGTTGAGCGCAGGCACCGTCGGAGGCGAAGGCACGAAGCCCCTCCCGTCGCCGAGGCCCATGTCCAAGCACCTGGCCGAGTCGTAACCGTGCTCGTGGGCGTGGTCTTGGCCGCGCAGTCCGGCCTCTCCCGTACCAGTCATGTCCTTGTGGCCGTGGTCTTCGCCGCGCAGTCGGGCCTCTCCCGTACCAGTCATCATTTCCTTGTTGCCGTGCTCTTCGCCGCGTAGGCCGGCCTCATGAACGCGAACAGCATCCACATTCAGCACAATTGTGAGCGGCCGTGCGCATGCATCATCAGCGCAATTGTCAGAAGCCAACGTCATCGACCCCGACAAGTTCAGAGAGCACACCATCTTGCGAGACCCACTTGGCGTCTGCACGTCGAGATGCAAGTCCAAGGTACCGCGACAGGGACAGGTTGACATGACACTTACAAGATATCACACTGGAGCGTGGCCTCAACGGCTGGAGGCAAGGAAAAGCAACAACGGCTTGAGCCAGCACGGCGGCTTGAGCCACGAAAGCGTCTTGGGGTTGCCACATTGGCAACCCCAAGACGCCAAAGGCCCCAAGATACCGCACACCCTGTGGCGTCGAGGAAATGCCACGCCTGCCACGCCCTGCCCCAAGATACCCCAAAACGCCCCAAGATGCCCCAAGATACCCCAAGATGCCCCAAGATACCCCAAAACGCGCTCTGGCACGCCCAAGACACCCCAAACACCCACAAGACCCCTATAGGCCACCAAGACAAACACCCCAAGAACCAAACACCCCAAGACACCCCAAACACCCCAAACACCCACAAGACACCCCAAAACACCCCATGGATACCTTTGGAGACCCCTATAGGCCCCTGGGCCCTGAAAGGCCGAGGACCCCAGAGGGCCCCGAGGCACGCGGGGCACCCAGACCCCTAGGGGCCCCTGTCGCCCCGCCCATTCCCACGCACCCCTCACACGGATCGTGGAGTCAGGACGTGCAGGGCCGAAGGCCTATGGATGGGGGATAAGGGGGTGAGACTCCCTAGCTATCGACTCCCTCGCCCCCCCGCCGCGGATAGCGTGATCTCTTTTGGAGGAGCGGCCCCAAAGGGGCCGCCAGGAGGCAGCATCCGCAGCAGGGGGGGTAGGGGAGTCGATAGCTAAAGAGTCCGCCCCCACCCCAGGGCGTCGGCAAGTCCGCCAGCCGATCCACGGCATGTACCTCGGGCAGCGCTCTGGGCCACACCTCCCTTCGCGATCCCTACGCATCGGATCACAGAGAGACCCGATGCGCCGAAGGGCGGGCTGGCTGCCCGAGATACATGCCATGGATCGGCCAGGATCGGGGAAGGGAGCTTAACACAGCCTACGGCCTCCAAGACAACCCCCCCAAGACAACCCTCCAAGACAACCATCCCAAGACAACCCTCCATGAGGCACTAACACCCTGAGGCCCCTACCTAGCGCCAAGAGCGGCCCTAAGGTCTCCAATATCCGAACACGCGGTTCGATGCTTTTTTTTGCTGGACGCACCCCCCCACGTCGACTCTCGAGCACGGCAGCCTCAAACATGCAATCACCATTGTGACAGTGGGCATGCACAGACCCCAAACAGTAATATCCAAGACGGCTTTGGACTGGCCGCGTGCCGAATAGTGGCACACTTCGCGACGTGGACCCCAAGCAGCGTCAGAGTGGACCCCAGCTCACGCAGTGGACCTCAAACAGTGACCATCACCCTTTCGCGAGAACGGATTTTTCTGTGCCCTGCCACGCGGAGACCATCCGAGAGGGCACGCGCACGCCAGCTAGGATGAGCACTGGCGCTGCCGAGGAGGACCACCGATTCAACCTCACATGGGCCACGACGCCAAATGCACCATGGGGCATGGTGTCCTCCTGAGGAGGACACCAGGCCCCATGGTTACCTTTGGCTTCGGGGCTATGTAAAGTTGAAAGTGACTGTCAGGCTGTCAGCGTGCCGACGCCGATCTTCAACTAGCCACGGCGCTTCGACCGCTTCGAAGGTGACGAGAACGGCGCGGGGTGGGCGGCATCCTGCTTCGGCGACAACTTGCCAAGGGGCTTCTTTTCATCGAGCACCGTCTTCTTCGTCTGGACGGCCCTGCCTTTGGGAACGAAGATGCTCTTGTGGTCGCGGTTGTTCAGACGGTTCCGGATGCTTATGTTGTATTTGGTAATCTCCTTCGAGACCCACCTCAGAGTCGCGTTCTTCTCGGTGATGTGCTTTTTCAGCACCCTATTCTGGACCCGAAGCTCCTGAATCATTTTCAATAGCTCTGCGTTTGTCTTCTCGCGTGGAAGTGAAGGCATCCCGTCGGCCACAGCCGTGCGAAGTTTAACTCCAAGGGAAGTCGAAACCAAACTCTCGGAATTGCTCGACCCAAGGCAAGTGGCTACGGACGGTGAGAAGGAACAAACCACACCGCACGGCCTTCAGAAAGTCACGGTGCCCGCAGTCAGCCAGTCAGTCAGTTCATTAACTTTGAAAGTCAGTCAGCCAGTCAATCCGTTCGCTTACGGCTCAAGCGTTCACTCAGTCCAGTCAGCCAGTTCATTTGAATAATCCTACAGCCATGTCTTACGCTAGCTTACATTGGCTCGCCCAAATCAGGCCCGAAGGCATGGTCCAAGACGACCCTCGCCCAAGACGACCCTCGCCCAAGACGACCCTCGCCCAAGACGACCCTCGCCCAAGACGACCCTCGCCCAAGACGACCCTCGCCCAAGACGACCCTCGCCCAAGACGACCCTCGCCCAAGACGACCCTCGCCCAAGACGACCCTCGCCCAAGACGACCCTACCCGACACAGCAGCGACTCTGACTCCAGCACCCGCAGGTCTGGGGACAGCAATCAGTGTTTTCAACACACCCACGAGACGCCGCGCTGCGCCTGCGGCGCGCAGATCAGCGACGCGAGCAAGCGCCGGCGCACCGCCAACATCCACCGCCAGCTGGACGCGCGGCCATGATGTCCTCGGCCTGGCTGTCCAACTCCGCCTCGGTCCACCCTGGCAGCGGATCCCGCGCAGCCAAGGACACGGGCGAGGACATGTGTTGTGGTCTACAATCGCAGTCGATATCATTCCCCAAAATCAACCATGCCTTCACTCTCTTGCGGGCCACCTCATACGGGACTGCAGCTGAAATGCGGCACGACTTGGCGCAGATGAGGTGGGGCGCCATCATGTCTTTGTGCTCCTTGCAATTACCAGCCCATGCAATCACGCGTTTCGGCCCCGACCCTCTGGCCCTCACCTCGTTAATAGTCCACGGACCAAAAGGATGCTTCACCAGATCTGGCTCGTCGGGATCGTCGGGCGGCCGCGGCGCGCGGGACGAGGAAGACCCACCAGACGCCTGTTCAGGAAAAATCCTCGCGACGAGGCTCGCAACGTCGGCGCCGTCGACCTCCGCGGCGCCCAGGTCGATGGGGCCAGGGCCGCCGCTGCTGCCAGCGGCTCCGCCAACGCCAGCGGCCACGCCCTCGTTGCCAGCAGGTGCTGGCTCGCCGCCGCCAGCCGCGCCACCGCCAGCAGGGTCAGGAGCTCCACCTGGGGGCAGAGGGCGGAACGGAACACAGAGAAGACGGAAGGGGACAAGACTGGCACCCGCGGCCCGAACGACATTGAGACGACGAGGACGGCGAACAAGTTGGGAGCGTGAGCTGGAGGAATCGGACGCCACGCAAACGACAAGGGGAGGCAGGGTCGGAGACGAGACGAAGACGACGAGAGGACATTGTGAATAGCATCGGGCCCCAGGGCGAGGAGAGGGGAGAGAAACGAATGAGCTTATGAGAAACCCTCGTCCTCCTCCATCGCCCCTCCTGCTCATACTCCTACTCCTCAGGACCCGCCCTCCTCTTTATACTACCCTCCCCCCCCCTAGTTGCAAGGGTCACACCTCCTCCTCCTCCTACACCAAGCGCGAACGGAACAGCCCCAACGTCGCGCCGCCACCCCCAGCCCTCCGACCCAGCCACCCAAACATCATGATCTACAGAAGCCTGGCCATGAAAGATGCCGCTGATGGGGGAGGGGGGCCGAACTCGAAGGGCCAGGGGGGGGCGCGGCGCTGAGCCCGCTCCGACGCGCATCGTTGCCCCGCTTTCGGCCCAAACCCGAACCTGCAGCAGCCGCAAGGTCCTCCTCGAACCACTCGTCGCGCAAGCGGTCCAGGGAGTCCTCGGAGAACAAGGAGGGCGGCTTGCCCCCGTCGACGCCGCAATGCCCCCCGCCGCCCTGGTAGCGGCGGTCACTACAGCTGCCGCCAGCGCCACCTCCAAGGACATCATCGCCGCCGTGGCCGCGGCCACGAGGGCTGCGGCAACGATCCTTGACGTTCCCAAAAATGACATCGGCCGAAGATGCAGAAGAACATTTGATGCCATCCGTGTCGATGTGGGACCCGCTGCCTCCGTCGGGGTCGACGATATCAGACTTGTCGATGTCGCTCAAGGGCAAAGGGTCCGATCTTTTCTTCCGCCTCGGACGTGCTGGCCGCCCGCGACGGCCTCCGCCCCCTCCGCCACCGCCACGGCCCCTGGGCTTAAGAGCCTCGTCGGCGTCGAACTGGCCGCCCCAGAACTCAATCTCGCGATTGGCGGGCTCCGCACACGCGAGCTCGTGGACGATGAAATCAGCTGGGGTCAAGCGGCCAATCACGCGGCTGCCCTTGCTGAAAGTGAAGAAGCGGATAGACCAGCGAACGTCCTTGCGTAGACGCCTCAGCAAGTGCACCTGGCGCGAGAACTCCCACGTGCCGCGACCTGGGTAGCCCGGCCCACCAGTGGCCGACAAAGCGTCCAACTCAATAACATCACCCTTGCACTCCACGTTCAACTTGTGGAAGTAGCCGTGAAAGTCTCGAGCAGCCAGCGTCTGCCAGCCGCAGTGGTACATTTGCTGATCGATGATTATGGGCTCCGATACACTGCCACCATCGCACTCCAGCTCCGAACGGCACGTCAAAAGATAAGCAACATCAGAATTCGAAAGGCATGGAAGTACCGCCCTCGCACGCAAACGCTTCACAACAGCAGCATTGAACTTTTTGTGCATGTACAGTGTTATCTTCCCAGCGTCATCGCACATCTTGCAATTGTATTTGTAGCATGTGCTGGCCCGAGATTCACACTTGCTTTTGCTCAACCTCGGGACGCTGCCATACAAGATCGGCTCGTGTACGCCCTTGAAGTGGCCGATGAGAGTGGCGTGTGCGCGCTGCATATCTCGATTAGAACATGCGCGCGACGAAATGTCCGTCGCACACGAAGCTGCAAAACAACTCACAGGCGCAGAGTGGTGGACGAAAGAACAGCCAGCAGCAGCGGTAGCAGCGCTAGGCTCTGGCCGATAACGAGGGCAGACTGACTCGACCGCCTCCTGCAACTGCTTCACGGACTCCCCAACCCCATAAGAAACGAAAGTGGCGAGGGCCTCATCGGTCAAACGCTCCAGAGCCGCATCCCTCCGATTCTTCCGATACTCAACCGACATGACCTGCGCCAGCTGCTGATCCCAAGCCGTGACGGGCACAAGCCCGAGCTCGCGCACCTCCTTCGGCTCAGGACATCCGACGAGGGCTCCAGAGGTCCGCAGCTCGTCGAGCATGCGCCGCTGCTCGCACGCGGCCCGCTCTCTGCGGTTCGCCCTCTCGACGTCCTTTTTGCTCGGGCCGAAACCGCGGCCGCCCGCCGCATAAGCAGCCTCGGCATCACGGCCTCGCTGGGCGAGGTCATCCAGCTGGGCCTGGCTGAGAAGACTGAACCTGGCGCCGAGGCCAGGGACGGCGCAACCAGTTGCTGACCCCCGCGTCTCCTGCGACACCCAGGCGCGATAAGCCCAGTTCCCCTTCATGCGCTTGCTGGGCCGCGGCGCTGCATCAGCCTCATCGCCTGCCTGCTCCGCGCCGCTCTCCACCGCACCTGCGCCGACACCGCCAGCGCGCGCACGCGGCGCAGCTCGGCGCTGCTGCCGAACAGCGCGTGAGAGGTGCTTGGCGCTCACACTGAAGAGCTTCGGCGAGTGCGTCTGCGTGCTGGCAATGACCACGTCCCTTCGGATGGACGCGTGCCCGTCTTCGATGGCAGCAGTGTCCTCTTGGAACATGACCTTGACACTCCAGAGGTCTGCAAACGCTGCTGGCCCAAAACGGCTGTCCTCCGAGCCGTCGCCTCGCCAGTACTCAGACCACGAAGACAAGAATGGGCCAAGGATGTGCTGACAAGGTAAAGCCTGGAACCAGTTCTTGAAGTCATCAACACTCTCCATGTGGGCGAAAACTGCAATATCTGGACGAGCGTGCACATCGCAATGGCGTTCCCAGATCATGCAAGCACAGGCGCTGATGAATCTAAATGCCAAGGAGCGCACCTCGCAAGTTCGGGCTGCAGGAGCAATGATATTCCAGGAACTGTTGTTAAAAACCAGCATCTCTAAGTCATGAAGTGCGTGCATCTCTAGCCGCTGAGTGGCAGCGACGTCTGCTCTATAATCCCTGCGCGCAGTCATGAAAGCGCTCACCGCCTGGCGTTTGTCCCATCTGCGGCCTGCAATCGCCAAGTGTTTGTGCATGAGCCTCCAGACTGGGGCGGAGCACAACCTGAAAACATAACCAACTGGCAACATAGCTGGCCAAGAAGTCCAAGTGATAGCGGAAGCTCGGTACCTGCGCTGCTGCCCCTCAAACTTAGCCTGGGACAGCAAGGGGAACCACATGAACTAAACAATCGGGGCCGTATCCGCCCGCCAAGCCCCAGCCCCGCACCCCCACCTCCCAACGAAAACGACTGGACTTATGGCAACGGGCGCGCGGGGCAAGGGCGAGAGGGCGGAGGCGGCCACGACGTCCAAGTCCACGCGACTTCCCCTGCTGTCCTTCGGGTCAGCTGACGCCTCGGCGGCGCCATCGGCCGCCTCGTCGACGGCCTCGGCGGCGGCCCGACCGCCATAGCTGGCTGATCCGCTGGGGTCCCCCTCGAACGCGTCCGCCAAATCGGGGAGCATTGGCAGGTCCCCCGCGCCAGCAGCAGCCGTCACAGCACCGTCTGGGACCCGCCTGCCAGTGACCTTCTGATAGAAGGCGCGGTACACGCTGGAGGCCAAGCCGTGGATGGACTCCGGGAGCAGCCAAGCGTCAACAGCCTCCATGGCGTTGGTCCACCTCCCGCGAGGGAGGACGAGTGGCATGCCGCCAAAGACAGCCCTGATGAACCAGCGCTTGATCTTCAACAAGCAGTGCGTGCGGGAACGACAACACCCCGCGCGGCAATAATGTTCGAAGACGCCCCGTTTGGTCAGATCTCCATTCGCGAACGTGCTCACGACGAAATGGCGACGTCGTTGGATCTTGGACCGAGTCGAAGACGGATCGAAGAAAACATCCCAAACGCGTGAGCGGTGCTGGTCAGCTAAGACACCAGGGCCGACGGGGTCGTGCTCGTAATAATACCGCAAAGAACCAGACACCACTCGCACAGCCTCGTCCAAAAACATGTTAAACGCGCCTGGCGCGCGAAGTGACAGCGCCCAACGAATGCAACCTGTTATCCAAGCAGCTACAAAATCTGAAGATTTAGCCATAATCTGGGAGACCCTGTGGACAACACATCTACCTCGATATGTGTGCACAGGCCTGGTGCCATCATCTCTGGCAGTGTTGGAAACGAAACGTTCTGCGCGATCGATGGCGCCGTCGCCGTCAGTTGTGCTCAAGAGTTGCTGGCGTTTGAACCTCTGGGCGCAGCTCAACGCCAAAGACGACCTGCGAATGTGCTCGGCGTAACACTCGCCAATGCAGCGCTCGATGCAGGCCAGGGGCCGTGGCACATCAACTGACACCAACACAAACTCATTGCCCAAAGAGAACAATGCAGCAACAACCATATCGCTTTGAACTATTTTGCACGATGTCCCCCTATGGATGTCATTCACAAGTGCGCCCATCAAGGAATCCACTGCTTTCTGCTCATCCTCAAGCATCGGCTGGTCTGACAGCGCAGCAATGTCCAGTAACTCCTGTTCTGGGATGGTCAACCTGCTCTCGGCTAGGATCCGACAGAACTGGGTCTCATCGTAACGAAGCCTCTGGTAACTCACCTCACCACATCCACCAATTGACTCGACTTTGTCTAAAAGACGGGAAAACACAACATCGACTCCGTATTCACATCCAACCAGAAGAGCACCTGCCATAACGAGTCGTTTCGCGTGGACCGTGTGGGGCGAACATTTGGACTGGTCACTCTCAGCTTTCTGTGTCATTATAGTGAAGCCCGTGGTGTCTGGATCCAACTGCTTATGGATAAAATCAACGAGGGGCTGATTTTTCAACTCAGGGACCTTTCCAGCTGCAGCGCAACCGCGCTCTCCAAACTCCACCACGCCCTTGCCCAGGGCGGAGGACGCCGCTGCGGACCCCAGCGGCTGGCCGCGGGCCTCGATGCTGAACGACTGTTCGCCAGCAGCAGCAGCAGGGACGAGCGCGGCGCCGTCGGCAGCGGGGACGAGCGCGGCGCCGTCAGCAGCAGCAACAGGGACGAGCGCGGCGCCGTCGTCGTCGTCGTCCTCGGAACCACCAAGAATGGCAGCCCACTCCGAGCCCGCGCCGCCAGAAGCCGCCGCGCCGTCGCTCTCGGCACCACCAAGAATGGCAGCCCACTCCGAGCTCGCGCCAGCCTCTGGATTCAGAATGTCGTCCCACTCCGACATCGTGGTCCACAAACGGTTTGAGCCAAAATGGTTACGGACAATGAACACATGATCCATAATTGTTGCGGGCAATGAACAAGTGAAGAACTGGTTCTAATTGCAAGCACTGGTTTCAATCTCAAGCACTGTTAGGGGATCGGGATTACCATGGCTCCAATTGCAAGCACTGTCCGTGGTTACTACAGGGGCTCTGTTACAAGATTTCCCCCAGACGCCGCCTAATCACGCTCTCCGCTTTAGACTTCCTCAACAATAATCCGCCCGCAAACACTCATGCACTCGAGGCGCGTGAGACAATCTGATCCCCTTCCTCATCATCAGACGATTTGCATCACTAATCCGAGCGGGTTTTTTTTTTCAATTCAAAACCATGTGCTTTTCGAGCACCCATCGGGCCGAGTACTGTGGGGGGGTATGTGGTTTGAAACGACTACTTGCCCCTACTTTTCCAAAACCATTCCAAAAGTACTTGCGCCGACCATTTCAAAACCATTCCAAAACTATTCAAAAAGTACTTTACATGATCACCGCTTATGCGCGGCAGCGCATTCACAACGCCATTCAGAGAAACGGTAGGTCCAGGGAACACGCAACACTCCAGTTCCTTGGGGTTCCACAGCACCATGGAAATTACGAGCCACATCGACAGTGTGCTCCTGTGGCTGCAGGCCTCGTAGCCACTTGATCGAACTGCCTGGGGCCACGGAAACAGCTCGCTGGAGGAGATGCTGAGACTCTGCTATGGCCGGGTGATAACGGCCAAGATCTGAAAGGCATGGGCATGTCCAGTAGCAATTGAGAGCATCGTCCTGTGGCTCCCCACACCTCCAACATGCAAAACTGTTCCCCTCCCCTTTCATTCATGCTAGGTATCTGCGCTGCCCATGCCACACAATGCCCTTGGCCACGGCTGTGGCTGCTGGAACAAGATAGGATTCATCACGCTTCCAAGCTCTGGTGATGGCGTGAAACTGGTAGCTATCAAGACAGCAGGCAGACCCTGATCCACAATAGTATTGCGACGCCTGGGCCCAATATTTATTCTGAATGGAGGGTGTGAGTTCCTGGATAAATGAATATTGATCTGATCGGGGTCCTGGCATGAGGTGAAAAAAGCCGTTGGGGAGGACTGGTCCAGAGCCGCGCCGCTGTAGCCGTCCAGCCACAATCTAGCAGGTAGGCAACGACCGTGGAAAAAAGGGATACCACCTTGTTCCACCTCCCTTAGGGGACAATGTATCCCAGACTCGTTTCCACGTCCTAGATATACCCGGGTGGGGGATAGGGCGTAGGCAGTCGTGGTACATCCCGAATCCTCTGTGAGCCCCATAGCTCGGCACACGTTGCCGCGAAGAAGGCGAAGCTGGGTCGGACAAGCCACGTGCCCCTGAAATCCCAACAAAAGCTGCGGTTTGGCGCCCGCGGTGACGAGCACACGCAAGTACTTCCTGCCCTCAGAAAGCTTTGAACTATTGGCTAGTCTGGCAAAGCCCTTACGTTGTCGAGTCTGTCGAACCTGAAACCTCCGAACTTTCCCAAGAGTGGCATCACAGCCAAGATCACGCACCGAGGAGTTGACACGAACAGAAATACAGTGGCCCTGCAAGGCCTGAGCAACGTCCTTAGCCAGGGTAGGGTTCGTCGCCATGGTGACGCTTTTCTTCGACAGCGTGCAGCCTGCCCGACGGGGCCCCTGAGCGAGCAACTCGATGGCCTTCGGGAGCTGCTCTCTAACAGCCTGCTCGCAGGCCCGCATGCGAACTCTCAAATCATCCACCCAAGTGCGGAACGGCATCCTCCTGAAACGATGGTGGAAGTCCTGCAAGACAAGATATTGTGAAAGAGCGCCCTGGCCAGAGAACGGCTCTGACCGCACCCTTGCAAAATGGATTCCTGCGGCACAACGAACCTGGAGCACCCGAGATCGGACTTCAAAACCCTAGTGGCCTTGTGGACGATCAGGGCCAGGGACAGAGGCGGTTTCGGGTAGTCCAGGGAGACCGCCGTCTTGGCAGCTACTTCGATCGAAATCGTGTCGAACACCTTTTTCGATGTCCAGGAGGGCCTCGGTCATCGAGATCCCCGTGGAGCTGACAATCTCAACATACACTTCCGACAATACAGCGGCACGGAGGGCATCATTTCCACGAAGGGCTTGATCCCAGAAGCTGGCCTTCTCGCTGTCCCTTTCTGACAGCTCATAGCGAAAAAGCTTGGTGATGAGCCTGTACAGCCCCGAGGTCAAGGTGCGAGGCCTGTCACTCTCCTCATCCTTGGGCTGAAGGAAGATACAGTTCAGCAGCACCTGGATGGGGTACTGCTGGTAAAAACAGATGTCATTAACCAGTCCTGCTCGAAGCGATCTCGCCTCTCCTGGTAGAAGCAAGAAGTCCCTGACACGCCAGCCATCGCCCCCTGGAGCGGCCGAGGCAGAGTATCATGAGGCAACTTCTTCCTCCTCCTCCTCCTCCTCCTTCTCCTCGTCATCCTCCTTCTTCCTCCTACTGGTCTTCCGCTCACCCTTCTCCCTCCTGCACAGTCTGCCCCCAAATGATTTTCTCCCCCATGGCACATCCGGAAGATACACCGAAAATACGTAAGTGAATATGCACGTGTCTCTCCCCTCCATGCTGCTATTATCCGAGAGCCAGGTACTCCCAGGTCCCATCGACCGTATTCGCGATACTCGGGACTTTGTGCCTCTCGGGTGTCCGAGCTTCAGGACCGCAGCCGCAGAGAAGCGAGGGGAGGGGTCATGCTGGCTGGATGTTGCTTTTAGGTCACTTGTGCTCAAGCAGGCATGGGCGCTTAACTGCTAGGAGCAGGGTCCCATTGTGCGAGGCGGCCTCCATGATAAGAAACCATCTCGTCTGGT